TATGGAAATAACTCGACCTGCCCGATGTGGTATTGAAATAACTCGACCTGCCCGATGTGGTATTGAAATAGCTCGACCTGCCCGATGTGGTATGGAAATAGCTCGACCTGCCCGATGTGGTATGGAAATAGTTCGACCTGCCCGATGTGGTATGGAAATAGCTCGACCTGCCCGATGTGGTATGGAAATAGCTCGACCTGCCCGATGTGGTATGGAAATAGCTCGACCTGCCTGATGTGTTATGGAAATACCTCGACCTGCCCGATGTGGTGTGGAAATAACTCGACCTGCCCGATGTGGTGTGGAAATAACTCGACCTTCCCGATGTGATATGGAAATAACTTGACCTGCCCGATGTGGTATAGAAATAACTCGACCTGCCCGATGTGGTATGGATATAAATCGACCTGCCCGATGTGGTATGGAAATAACTCGACCTGCCCGATGTGGTATGGAAATAACTCGACCTTCCCGATGTGGTATGGGGATAACTCGACCTGCCCAATGTGGTATGGGAAATGAAATCGATGAATACGATTAAGGGTGAATATGAAGGATGAAAATGAGGAGGTGAATGATAAAAGTAATATTCATGCTATAGAATATATATACTATATGGTGAATATGAAGGATGACAAGGAGGATGTGAATGATAAAAGTAATATTCATGCCATATGATATATATTAGGTGATATATATACTATAGGGTGAATATGAATGATGAGAAATGAGAATGTTAGAATGAAAGTAATATGCATGCTATAGGATATATATTATGGGATATATATACTATAGGGTGAATTTGAAGGATGAAAAGGAAGATGTTGAGAATGAAAGTAATATACACGCTATAGGATATATATTATGGGATATATGTTCTATGGGGTGGATATGAATAATGAGAAGGACGATGCCTCGAAAGAACGTAATATGCATGCTATAGAATATATATTATGGGATATATATACTATAGGATGAATATGAGTAATGTGGAAATTAAAGGAATAAGATATAAATGTTTACAACTACGTATTTGTGGTTATAATTTATATTAAAGCTTAATCGTATTTGAAATGTGGATTATCATGTGATGTTAGTTTTTGAACTAATGACTTACTCCCTTGTTTTGTGTGTTGTTTATGATAATCCCATTGTAAGTAAACGAAGGATTTGAGGAGGAAGCTCACTTATGAATCTTATGTGTTTATTAACTGGAATGCCTTTATCGTTACTTTGACATTGTAGTTGATTAGATAATATGTTGGGATGAATGTAAATATGATTAGGATATTACTGGAGATATGTAGTTATGAACGTTATAACTCTAGGAAACCCATAACTGGTCATATGTGGTAATTACTCATTGAATGAATTATGTTTTTCCGCAATATAAATTGTATGTTAATATGATAGGTGTAAAGAGTATTTTCAAGGAATGATTTAAGAGGGTTTTAAATAAGATGAGGAATGTATGTAAGAGAGAATTTAAATAAATGAAAAAATTTCAAGGGTAGAATTTCGGACCTTACATGCATGCTATAGGATATATATTATGAGATATATACTATAGGGTGAATATGAATGATGAAAAGGAAAATGTTAAGAATGAAAGTAATATGCATGCTATAGGATAATATTATGGGATATATATACTATAGGGTGAATATGAAGGATGAGAAATGAGGATGTCAGAATGAAAGTAATATACATGCTATAGGATATATATTATGGGATATATGTTCTATAGGGTGGATATGAATAATGAAAAGGACGATGTTTCGAATGAACGTAATATGCATGCTATAGAATATATATTATGGGATATATATACTATAAGATGAATATGAATAACGTGGAAATGAAAGAAGGAAGATATAAATGTTTACATTTACGTAATTGTGGTTATAAATTATATCAATGCTTAATCGTATTTGAAATGTGGATTATCATGTAATGTTAGTTTTGAACTAATGACTTACTCCATTGTTTTTGTGTGTTGTTTATGATAATCCTATTGTAGGTAAATGCAGGATTTGAGGAGGAAGCTCACTTAGGATTCTTATGTGTTTATTAACTTGAATGTCTTTATCATTACTTTGACATTGTAAATGACTAGACAATATTTTGGGATGAATGTAAATCCGATTAGGATAATATTGGAGATATGTAGTTATGGATATTATGATTGTTGGAATCCATAACTGGTTGTATGTGGTAATTAATAATTAAATGAATTATGTTTTTCTACAATATGAATTGTATGATAATATAATAGGTTTAAAGAGTAGTTCAAGGAATGATTCATGAGGGTTTTAAGTAAGATGATGGATGTACGTAAAGGAGGATTAAAATAAATGAAAAAATTTCAATGGTAGAATTTGGGTCCTTACATTATTTCCTATAGGCTTAGAACCGCTCTTGAGAATTTCTTCTTAGTGTTATTGTTGGAGACAATCAACAACTCATTCCTCTGATATTGTCTATGAGTCTCTTCTTCATTGCGGAGACGAGTGATCAGAGATTCCAAAGAGAATTCTTTGATCTTGTACTTGAGAACGTTTTTGAAGTTCTTCCAGCTAGATGGAAGTTTGTCAATAATGACAGCCACTTGAAATTGCTCATCTAGGGGCATACCTCAGAAATGATCTCATGAGAAATTTTTGTATCTAGTGGGACTGAGACTCTACTGATTTATTATCAGTCATCTAATACTTGAGGTAGCGGCTAACAGCATATTTCTTAGTCCCAACTTCTTGGGTATCATATTTCTTAGTCCCATCGAACCGAAATGGTTTGTTAAGGTCAAAGTTGTTCGACTTAGTAATAATATCTATGAATGCCATTGCATTAGGAAACGTCTTAAAATTGTTGTTATTGTAACTTGCAACAATTCTAAATGATATGAAATAATACTTAGTGGCCGAGTCACGACCAAATTGCTTTCTTTAAGACGTTTCGTGGTATTGCCAAAAATTGTGCAAGCAACCACTCCGTCCCCAGGATAAAACAGCTCAGTTCTATGTTATTGAATTCTTAGTGCACTATAAGAACCTATATTAAATACACCCACCACAATATGGCTACCAGTGTCAATTCTCGAAATTCGCACAATATGGTTTACAATGTCAATTCTTGAAATTCTTATAATATTGTTACCGGTGCCAATTCTCGAAATTCCCACAATATGTCTATCAGTGTCAATTCTCGAAATTCCCACAATATGGCTACCAGAGCCAATTCTTTTCCCACAATCTGACTCTAGTGTCAGTTTTTGAACTTCTCACAATATGGCTGCTTGTGCCAATTCTTAGTGCCACAGAAAGAAAGGGGGAGAAGTTTGCCGAAAATGCATCGGCGGAAAATATGAGGGAGAAAGAAATTAAAAAGGTGAGTAAAATCGTACTCAACTTCAGACAAAAAAATCTTAAGGGAGAATATTTCTATTTATAACATAAGTTTTTTTTCCTAGTTCCTCCATCTTCCTTTGTGAGACTTGTGAGATTTTTCAAAATCTTCTTATATGGGACTTGTGAGTTTTTCAATTTCACACCAAAAAGTCCATACTAATGACATTCAACAAAGCAAATTCTAACAGATTCACTTAAATGTTTTCACATTTTTATCTCTTCAGTTCTCACCATGCACAGGGCACGAGACATTTGAAGGTTTTCTCTAACATCAATGATCTCATAAACTATTGATGGGTCCATGATTACGTGGATCAAAGCCGCCACTGAACCCTACATATAGATATTCGAAAAGAAATTATTTGTTCCAAAAGTATCTTGTCTCCTTGTCCCTATCAAATGGAATTGCACTAAATAATATAAAATATTAGATTTTGATTTTATAACTTTTTTCTTTAGTTAAATGACACATTCTGATTTGCCTGAGACACCATTAAGGATATCAATGATGACAACAGATCTGAATCCATAAATATTCAACCTTAACCTCCAATATGACTATTCCTTTGGTGAAGACCTTTCATTATGATTCTCTCTACCTCAAGTTTCTCAAAGCGCTCAGTACAACACAAGTTCTAGAAGTTCTAGTCTTGTTTCTTTGAAATAATCTCAATTTTTTTTTTAAATTGAGGCTAGATTGTAATCACGCACTACAACAGACTTTGTATTTAGTGAAGATTTTTTTTGCGTTTAGTGAAGTTTTTAATCTCCACAATATAACTAGCGGAAGTTTCAGAAACCTCCACAGTTATGACTGCTAGAAGCGTTTAGTGGATGTTTTAGAAAACCCCTAGTATTGACAAATTTATAGCGGTTTATTAGTGGAGGTTTTTAATCTCCGCTATTTGAGGAGGTTTTTAACCTCCACTAATGGATGAGGTTTTTCCAGCATTTATTATGGAAGTTGTAAACCTCCACAAAATGAGGAGGTTTTTGTAATGTTTACCATGGAGGCTTTAAACCTCCACTATTTGAGGAGGTTAATTATGAAGATTTTCAACCTTCAATACTCGAAATAACATATGGAGACCTCTTTGAATGTAACTACTATATGTTTCTAGAAGATTTCAACCTCAATTTAATTTCATATTTTTCACAACTTTAATCTCATTAATTTATAATTATTATTTAAATATACAATACTAAATACAAATGTACTTAACAAAAATAAAATTTCATTTCAAATGATAATACAATACTAAATTTCATATCCTCTTATAACATCTTTAGACTAACTATAAATCAAATGAGTAAGCATATCAAACTTGTGCATATTAGATCCAGCATGTAAAGACCCAAAATTTTACCCTTGAATTTTTTTTTCTTATTTTAACTCATGCGAACATTCATTTTGTTCATATTTTATGATTAGTAACCGAAAATACGTTACATTATTTAACTTGATTATTTCATGCTTGTTTATCATGCGGTATTCATACATGCATTCATAATGCAGAAAAACATAATTCATATTAATGTACTTCGGTAACTACCGCATACAATTAGCTATGGGTCTCCATGATACCCATAGCCACACATATCCTGAGTTACAATTATCCGAAGGTTATTATGTCCATAGTTACAAAATACTTTAAACTATCAGACATGCACTCATGATACAAAAAATGGTGCAAATAAAGACATCTATAATGTAAAGCTCCTAAAGCTCCCAAAATAAGCCTCCTCATTCTACCTGTTTATCTGCAATGGGATTATCAATGACAAATACACAAAACATACAAAGGAGTAAGTCATTAGTTCAATAAACATCATTATAAGATAATCCACATTAAAAAGGGTTAGTAAACCATTTTTAAATTCATTTTCTTTGCTGCATTACTTGAGTTGAAGTCGCTACCCCCTTTAAGATTAGCTAAAAGCAAATTCCCTTTTCTTTTAAAACGAAAACGTGCTACATATAATCGAGCCGGAGTTTTGCTTCATATACTCGAGCCAGAGTTTTGCTTCATATACTCGAGCCGGAGTTTTGCTTCATATACTTGAGCCGGAGTCGCTAACCATTCATGGTCGGCTAAAAATTTTCTTTTCTTTTTAAAACGAAAACGTGCTACATATACTCGAGCTGGAGTTTTGCTTCATATACTCGAGCCGTAGTTTTGATTCATATACTCGAGCCGGAGTCGCTAACCATTCATGGTCGGCTAAAAATATATTTTCTTTTCATCGATTTCACCATCAATCATTTACCGTAAATCCACGCCATCCTTAGTATAAACACACCCATATATGTTTATACTAAATATGTGATTCATAATATAATTATGGTACAACCAGAAAATACACACATTTTCTATTTGAAATGCACAAGTAAAGACTTATCCTTACTTCGGTGAGTGTTGGGGGTCGGTTTTTGAGTAACTTTACCAGTTTCCTCCATGTTCTCCTCCAACCTTAGGATTTTTCCTTATTTCCACCAATAACAACAATGTCAGTCATTTATTCAAAATAACACATAAACAACTCATATTTCATCGTCAAACACACAAGAGTTTCATACATGTTCAATGTTTCCAAAACTACTTCATTAGGAGTTTCCAACCATTCAAGACATACATATTCACCTTGTATTCAACATTAGAACACATACTCATAACACAATCATTCTCATATCACATAATCTCGTCCATTTATTGCCATTAAACACTTATCGCACCATCATTGTTACAAACATACCCATATATGTTTATCATAATAAACATTCACCTCTTATAACAAATCAACACACAACATATTCTTCATTATATAACATTTAACACATTTCCTCTTATGACCACATTTTCCTTTTGGGGGTTTTGGGGTTTTCATAAATCGACCCACAAACCCTTTCAGATCTGACGCTCTCACTCAAGCGAGGGATTTCTCGCTCAGGCAAGGCAGCTCTCGCTCAAGCGAGGATCTTACAACCTCGACAGGTCCTGAATGCCACTTTTCTTGCCCAGGTGAGACAACTCTCGCTCAGGCGAGACCACTCTCGCTCAAGCGAGAATCCTTCAGTATAGCCCAAGATTTCACCCTCCCAGGTGAGCCTCTCTCGCCCAGGCGACGATTCTCTTGCTCAAGCGAGACTCTCAGGACTAATACTATAATTTAATGACTTTAAAATCTAGGGTGTTACAATCCTTCCCCCCTAAAAGAAATTTCGTCCCCGAAATTTGATTAGGTTACTCTAGGAAGACATCATCATCGCCTAAACGTTATGCATAAAATACACTCAACCAAGCTTAGACCCAACCGTCCAAACCATTAAGATCCCTTATACGACATACAGTGGTGCATACCATTCAACCGTGACACCACATAGCTAATTCATGGACTAACCTCAGAAGTCCATATACCAAGGTCAACCATCAGGACAACTAAGGGAAAATTATCACAACCGGAATAAAGATTCCCAAACATCCCCTTAGTCACAATAGATCTCCCTGATCTATTACTACAATTATTGTTCAAAACGATCAACATAAACAGTGAGATTCACGGTAATACCTTCAATTTCGGAAGAAAGTGGGACTCCACACCCATCAATACCAATATGTACTAGTTCATATCCAACATGCAAAATCTAGATCGACATCCACTCAATAACATCATTTCATTCCACATATGAGCAATAATCACAATTTACTCCAAAATTCTCAATAGCATTTCAATTCGTACTTGCTACACATAGAAACATGGTAGTCATCCAACAAGTAGCATTTAGGAAAACAAATTTTTTGGAGTTATTCCGAGTACTAAATAAATTACCAAGTAATTATCCAATTCAACCAAACATTACTACAACGATCACGGTTTAAGAAGATTTGCTAGTTCATAGTCTCAACTAGGCATACAAGGTCACAGACTCAATCAAATCACATGCTTGGCCACCAACGCTCATTGTAATTTTTCAAACACTCAACCCAATAATTTACGTTATGTATGGATATTTCATTTACAATTGCAAATATACACTTAGTGCTCATATCTACCGCATGTTTAGAAACACCTAGTCAGAAGTGCTCCACAAGGTTTTTAGCAACATTACATTCGCACATGATGCAGTTGTTAAACTTTTGGACATTCAATGTGAAACTAAGTTAATGCTTAGCCACATTTTACACTTCACCCCAAATGATGTTCAAAATAGTTCAGATATAAGTTCCGTGGCAATTATCTCGCGAAACAAGGTTTTCATAATCATTTCAAAATAGCTTCAAAAATCTATTTTTCTCATTGACACCGAAAATTTTCAAATTAAGATTTTCAAAATAGCTTCAAAAATCTGGAGTTACATTCCATTTAGGGCATTAGAGTTCTCACAGTCCATTTAACAAAACTTACCTATGCCATAATACTTCAATCATGCATAGTAATCACTAACACATATGAGACAAAAATAAGTTTTGTAAGCACAATAGCAAGCAGATAATTGGGGGTACAATACCACTATATCGCGAATTGCAATTATTCCACTACAAAAGGTCAATCACCCTATACCAAAAGTTTCACGTACGACCGTCAAGATGACTTCACTATTCCCAATACTACTTTCCACAAAAGCATAGAACAAAATTTTGTTTATCCATTAACTCGCTAAAACTTAAGCATCACAATATCTAGGTTCATCATCAAGGTTCAGATTAATGCACATATAAGAAATCACTAGCATAATGAAAATTTATTACCTTAACTTTATTATGATCATTTTGTTTTTCATACTAGTTTGCTTTTAATTTCCAAAGGTTTAGAGAGTCATTTCAAGTTTAAACATATAAGGAATTTCCACTTTTATGCAAACACACTCTTCACAATGACATTTAAGTACTTCACCTACTTCATTTATTACTTTGAACCATGAGTTCTACCTTAGTATAATCATGCAAACTAATGCAAACAAGAAACTCTAAACCAAGAGTTTACAAGAGAGAAACTAAATAAAACGAACCAAAACTCAAACGGAAGAGTTTCCATGATTTCTCATATTTTTGGAGAAGAGATCCATACACCCAAAACAAGTTAGAGAGGAAGAAGAAAGTTAGAAACAATAGGTTTACCTCTTCTCAAGCTCTAAGATGATTCCTAAGGCTCTTTGCTCTTGAAAAGCTATCCTCTCTTTTTTCCCTTCAAAGTTCTAACCCTAAAATGTGTTTGGGGTTTCTATTTTAACGTGAAATCGTCGGATTCTCGCTCAAGCGACCCATTCTCGCTCAGGCGAGGAAATCCCGCCTTTTTAAAATTTCAGATCTGACGCTCTCGCTCAAGCGAGGGATTTCTCGCTCAGGCGAGGCAGCTCTCGCTCAAGCGAGGATCCTCTCGCTCAAGTGAGGATCTTACAGCCTCGACAGGTCTTGAATGCCACTTTTCTCGCCCAGGCGAGACAACTCTCGTTCAGGCGAGACCACTCTCGCTCAAGCGAGGCAATTCTCGAGACTCCCAGGACTGATACTATAATTTAATGACTTTAAAATCTAGGGTGTTACACAGCACGACTACAAACAAAATCCTAGGTGACTAGATTCTAATTTGCCTTAAGTCAGTTTTGGCAATTCCCCTTTGTAGGCCATAAAAGAGGGAATATATACCATAGAATAAATAGTTAAGCCTTGGCTCAGCAAAGAGACCTCTAAGGATTCTCTGAGGGTTCCTGCATTGGCATAAGTGTGCAATACTTCCATTGTATCATTAACCTTTTGGAGTAGCTTTGATATCATGTAGATTGCCATCATTGTAAAACAAGGAATGGATGGCTAAGTATGGATCTCTACTCTCAATGATCTCCATCATGGATTCATGGTTCTGTTTATATACCTCATTGCTTCACCATCAAAACCTGGTGTCAAATAAGGTAAGAATAGGCATTAATCATTAGTATAGATTAGTACTTTGCAATCAAATATTGTAGCTAGAACATGGTATTCTCTTAGTTGAATGTTTTAACCTAGTTAGAATGGTCAAGAGTGGTCAAATGAATTAATGAGTAGACTAATTAGTTTCTTGATGACATAGCATAAGTAAAGTATATTTTTATGATCACTCGATCTCAATAATTTTGATTTGATTACTGTATATATTTAGGATGATCATTAGGTTGCATTTCCATGGATGATTTATTGGCCACTTTACCATATCAATTATTTATGCTCGACCTTTGTAAAATTTTGGGGCATTTTCATCCTTCCTCTCTGTCTCGTTCCAGTCATCATTAGAGTTTAAATCTGCCAATTCCTTTCCATTAAGCTTGTAGTAGTGCAAAAATGTATTTTCAAGGCAGCCAAGGAAGCATGGGTCTCCACCATTTGTATCATGTCCAACCTATCCATAATATCCAAGCTCCTAATAATATAAGTGGCAACCTGCCAACCATATCATCTACATTTTTATGGGCAGGAATCCACTTACTCCAAAAAACACTTACTCTTCATCTTAGCCATCCAATCTTGAAAAATTCAATGGTTTAGATATACTCACCAATTCAAACCATTGGATTTCCAAGAATGAATGGTCATGATGTGGAGTAAGTGTTTTTCCACTTACTCTTGGAGTAAGTGGATCCCTCCCCCATTTTTATATATTGATGTAGCACTTTTAATATAGAATAACTAAAAGAGAATTAAGATTGATTTAAAACCTTCTCAACATTTCACAAAGTTGTGCATGTACTTTTTGGCTGCATCTAGATCAAGGCGTCTTCATCAACGAGATGACTATGTTCCCGTTGCTTCCATGCATGAATCTGACCTCAGTTTAGATTGGAAGAGCAAAAGTTATCATAATTACTTTTTCACAAGTTAAATATTTTTGCATGAATGAATCTATACATACCTTAGCTCTTCCAAGAGTCATTGTTATTGGGAAAATTAAATCTAATTATTGTTCAAATCACTCAAATTTTATCAAACACTTGGTGTGCAGCTATACCTTCAAGCTTGAACCATCTTCTTTTTCAACATATGTTATCATAAAGATCAACTTTTCCTTGCTTTGTTCTTTGCCACCATTTGTAATCGGTTTTCACCATGGTTATGGAGAGATTTCTAGAGAGAAGAAAAGTGAATAGAAGAAGCAAACATACATCATCAATCAAATTAACACACTACAAAATTGAATTATGAATACATATAATTGTTTGATGAGATAAGTTGTGTCAATACCTTTAAATGAGTCAATGTGATGTTTGATGTAGATTTAGAACGAATATCATGGGCTTTATATATTTGTAGTACCCTAAACAATAGAAATGTATGTGATTACTCATAAAGTTTAAATGAATAATCTGCTTACTAAGAAAAAATTTCCTTCATAGAAGAGTACTTGTTCGGATTTCTGTGTTTCAATGAATCAAGATAATACAATTGTTGACTAAAACGTTTAATGACAACCAAAAATCAATGTTGTCCAAGAAAACATATGCATACAG